AAACTGTAAGAAAACTGATTTCTTTTGCACTGGGGAAAGGCCTAATCATGCAGTTTCTTATAATCATCTTAATAAGGAAATTTCAAATTGAATATTTATTTTCACAGTTTGTTTCCGTCTATGTGGCTAAAAGGTTGTTCCTAGGAAACGATAATTTCAAATTATTTGCAATTTAAAATGTTGCTAATCTATTATAATCTCGTTTCCGTGCACTTTGAGGCACAGAACATAAATGCACAACACAAGCTTTAAACAGGCAAGCGTATTAATCGTCTTTTTAATAAGTAATAATGTTCTCTTTTTCTTTTGTAATTTAGTCAGATTCTGTCTAGGAAGAATATATCTAAGTATATTGAATTAGTAATTACTGTTTTCGCTTCCATAATATTTAAACCATCAATAAATGATAATCATAAATCAAGTTAAAAAAAACCAAAAATGAAAACGAGAAGTAGAATAAAAATGATATCATCATTCTAAATGTAAGTCAATAATGATTATTGCTTTCATTTTAATTGCGTTCAGCACTTCAAGAAAAAGCTGGGTTTTGCAATTTCATAAAAACTGCATTTCACAGGATTTCAAAATAAGCTCTCCAAGTCAAATTTTTCTGTATACCATTCCAGCATGCGCTTTTACCCACTTTATTTTTATAGATGTTCTCTTGCGCTGTGATAATAAATCGTAGATATCTTGCACTATTGATGATTTGTTTCTTGCATCATTGACAGCTATGCAGCTCAAGACCCATCTCTATCTCCAATCAATGTCCCATTCCCTAAATCGTATGTGAAACATATGTTGAAAAAAATTACATTAAAAAAATGGCAAACTGAATGGGAAAATGCAGAAGTAGGTAGAAGGCTTTCCAACTTCTACAAGAAACCCACATATGATCCAATCCCTTATAACTTCTTCATCAACATATTCTTATCTGGACATGGTCCTTTCCCCACGTACTACTTTGCACGAAATTTGAGCGAATCAGACAAGTGCGTATGGGGGAAAAGGGGAGACCCAGAGCACTATATTTTCAAGTGCCAGCTCACAAAAGAGCTACACTGCAAAAGGAAGGTCACAAATTACGCCTGAGTACATTAAATGCATGCTAACGATACCTCATTTACAACAAAAGATTTCCTTGATTATGAAGAAACTTTTCGCATATAAAAGAGAAGACATATGTCCAAGATGCTATCACACCTGTATAAATACCTCTTATTCCTACAACTTGCAAAAATAATGAAAAGATTTCAGAAATATTGCAAAGTGTCTGAAACAGGTTAAATATGGATATGAATAGTTTTTATAAAATAGTTACATTAAGAATTTAGACTGTATTAGGTAGATGAGGGGGAAAAATCTTGTAATAAATAAAATCATTAATTAAAAAAATAATATACGACTCTATTAGATATATTAGTGTAAATGTAAGTATTATGTGATTTTCTAATGTATATTTCTGTATTTATGATACATTAATTTACAAAAATAATAATGTAAGACTTCAGTGCTGATGCATTTGTGTGTAACAAGTTAAAAAAATGAAAGGAAATGTATTAATAAGAGAATTCGCCTTAGTAATTCAACTAAGTATGATAAAATGCACACACGAAAAAAAAAAAAAAAAAAAAAAAAAAAATCTTCAATTAGCTCCTTAAAATGATGTTTATTTTAATTCGATGTAACTAGATATACTAATGTAAATATATTGTTTGTATGAAGTACAATGTACAATGAAAGTTTGTATGTATGTTCGAAGTAATTATGTTATTTCAATCTGCCATAATCCAACTTTTGTTGATAGGTTAATTTCTTTGCAATAATTGTATACTATGTCTTTGTAATTGTATATTCAATACGTAAGTCTAATATTAATGTAAAATTACTATGTAAATGTCTTGATAGGCTAGCATCCGATGCGGACCAACTAAAAGCCCAGCGGGGTACAGTAGTGCGGCGGAGCAACACCTGTAAAAGTCACTGACGAAGTTCTGGTGCTCCGTCCACTTTTCCCTGTCCCTGTATACCATTCCAGCATAAGTTATTCTTTTCCCCAAATAACTAAAAACTGGGCATTTATCCAGATTATTTGTAGGGGTAAGATTGACGGCAGTTGAATATTTGTGATGCGAGTAATATTTTATTTGTATCGCAAGCGTTAGACGTTTTAAGTCCATAAACCTTATAGAGTGATTTTTCGTCAAACTGCAAAAGCCTGATTTGAAAGTGTTATCATAGAGAGGGTAAACTGTAACAATTGTTCGCGCTTTAACTTTTGGTACAAAATGGCAGTGTTCCAGAAGCAGATACCTTTAAACTTGGTATTTTGGAGATAAAATGACTTTGCTGTACAAAATGGCAATGTTCCAGGAGCAAATACCTTTAAACCTGGTATTTTGGAGATAAAATTATTGCTATTTATAAATTTAAATTATGGAAATGGAATGATTTCAGAATTTTAATCTTAAACGTCAACATTTTGCTGGTGAGAATATTAATTAATGAATAAAAAATTACAGCTCTAGAAATCGGGCAGGATATGTTGCGTAAAGCAGAACATGTATTTTTAAAAGTAGGTAACAATTCCGATATTTCCCACAAAATGTATTTACATATTTCTTTTCTGTTCCTACTCATTCTTTAAGGACATATCATTCCAAGCCTTAGAAGCTGTTTATAAAATTGTCTACTGAGATTCCATTTTATATATTATAGATAATAATGAAAACTTTTCCACAGCTCTGAATTTTTAAGGAAACTGAAAGTCTGTCTAACCGTGTATTCAAAAGCGCACACATTCAGCATTTTCTGGAAAGGTCTCATCTCCGAATCCTGAAAAGTTCTCGAATTCTTCGAATTTCGAATTTTTAAAATTTCGGTTCCCTAGAATCATTCATATGAGAATAATAATCATAAACAGAAAGGAAAGTGATACTTAAAAAAATATGTAAGGTTTCAGATTTTAAAGGTCACCCAGAAGGATTTGTTAAAAATTTTTCGCTCTCGCTGAGCCGTAGTCGACCAGTCTGCTGTTGTACTCATTCCTGCCAACACAATATTTTCTAGTCTTTTTATTAAGCACAGTTTCCTTCGCATTGACGCTATGTACAATTTAACAGCAAAATTACAAAAAAATTAAAAGCAGCATAGGTTTAGAACTCCCGATGCAATGTTAATTGTTAGAATACATTTCTCTCCTTTTCAGTTTTCTCAATTCATCATGTTAGTGTTTATTTTCCTTAGTAAGATGGCTTGCGAAACATTTTTATTGTTTTATATTATTAACGCTTTGTGTGTTAATTTTATTTATTAAATGTCATGTTCTTCGCACTTAGACACATCAAATTCAATTCAACAGCAAAATCACAAAATATTTCAAAACTGCATATCTTAAGAATTTCCGATAGACTGTCTTGCGGTCTGGAGATAAAAATGTTTTATTCTGTACAGCAGTAGCCTATTATTTATATTATTATTTATATTTATTCTGTACAGCAGTAGTACAGTGTAGCCTTTTGACTAACGCGTACCATCTAAAGAAAAATTTAAATCCTTTAGTACCACTACTTCAAAGTAGTACTACCACCAACAACAAAGCTCAGATTGCAGCATCAATTTGCGAGTGTTACAGAAAAAACTAAATCAGGATGTTGGGGTTGAATTTAATAGTTAAAAATACTTTCTTCTTTACGTACCACCAAATTTTCTTGCGTACCACCGGTTGAGAACCTCTGCTGTACAGTGTTGCCACTGCTTGCTTTCAGGTCGTTGAGTTACTTAATAAAATACATTAAAGTTTTACAAAATATGCAATATAAAATTCGAAATTCAAATTTTTTATAATCGCCTGTATTTTTCCTGTGTAATATCACAGCGCATTTATACGAGAGTTCTGCATAGACGACAAATGGCATAAAGGTGTTTATATTGCTTACAATAAAAGTGTATGCAATATCTTTACTATCTTTATTACTTTCTTTTCACATTGGAAAGGTTTTTCTGATCGATTCCGTATTTTTAAAAGAAATGTAATTCGATAAAGCAAAGAAACGAAAAGATTTAAAATTGAAAGCCTTGTAAAAGGATGGAAAAAATTAAAAGAAGGAGAAAAATCAACACACATCCATTCAAGGTTTTTGAATTCGAAATTCAGTTTCTATATCCCTTTGAAAATTTGCAGCTTTTCAGAGGCTCCCTCTTCCTGAATTTCTCACATCTATTTCATTTATGCTTTTCATTTCAGCTTTACTAACCACGTTACGAAAGTTTTAATATGTACATATAATTTCTTCGTGCAATTTCAGTTTTCTTTGAAGCTAGGCATTTGAGTACGAGATGTATTTGAGAGTTGTTTGACTTCGAATTTAAACTTCGAGGAATTTTTGAGATAAACGATGTAATATTTACTATCAAGAATCTCCTATAATATATTTCTCTCTGCCAGGAACAATATTATTATAACACTGAAAATGTATGATGTTTTCAAATATATGATATATGCAAAATCAGACTTTTTATAAGAATATGAAGCAAGATTTCAGGCATGTGAAATTTATTAGATATATTTTACTTTTCGAGAACCTGTTAACTATATTTTATATGTTATGGTTTAATTAATTCTAGCTCAATGTGTAAGAAATTTAATGAATAAATATTTTAATAACAGGTTCAACGTACAAAAACAACTGTTTCTGCTTTTCTTCTTTCATAGAAATTTTAAAAAAAGTCTCAAAATTAAGATTATTTAATTTTTTTTGTAAATTATTTTTATACTTTAATCAGAACACGGTTATTTCTTTCAGCCGAATCAAAGATGTGCTGTTAATTTTCAATTTATATGCTATAGCACTCAAGCATTAAATTTCCTTTAACAGTATTTGCTAAAGGACTTCTTACGATGGTTATGTGATTATTTTCCAGGACAAAACAATGTTTTTAAATGAGTAGTGGTCATTTTGCAAGATAAAATGTTTTTAAATGAGCACCATATGTTTATCTGGATAAATTTATTAAAACATTAGGAGCTCTCCAATATTTTGCTCTGATAAATGGTTCTTACATTGATACAGTTTATTGATTTTTCGTATATCTCCTTTGCTGAGGTAACTCCGTTGACCAATCTTCGCATCTTTCTTTTTCGGCTCTAGTGTAGGCTTCTTCTTAGGATCTTTACTAAAAGCAAAGCGACTATAATGGAGGATTGAAGAATAGTCATAGTCTTCTTTTAAGAGATGAATAACAGGCCAGTCATATTTTTTAAAGTTTCCTTCCCTTCCTGCAAGAGGTTGAAATTATTAAAACTTAGCCATGTCAAAATTTAAAATTTGAAAAGAAGCATATTATTAATGCAGAAAATTACTTTTTAAATTCTCAAAATAAAAGTGCTAATGAAGATCAAAAAATGTTTTGAGTGTTATAAAAAAGGACATCATTTAAAAATATTACTGGTTGGGAAGAAAATGCTAAAATTAAAAAAAAAAAAAAAACCTTTTTACAGAAACTAATTATGAAAAGCTCGTTAAACGTGGAAGCTGAGGCTGTATCGAGAAAACCGAATGAGAGTGCCAGCCAACTTTTTGACATTAAATAAAATTCCTACATATAAGATGTGAGATTTCTCCTTATATAAATGTAATGGTTTTGTCTCATGTTGCGAGCAAAACATAAAAATTACAAATATTTGGATTGTGCTGCTTTTTTTAAGCGATATCTTACAGATATATATATATACTATTTTGCTAAAATGAACTAGCTGATAATAAAACATAAAACAATATTAAATAAAATGAAACAAATTAATTAAATTTCAGAAATAAATAGAATGCAAAGTCTTTTACATATTCTTGATTGTGTGCTCTTCAATTATATTATTTAATTATATGTTAATAAGACGACATTAAATTGATGAATTTTAGTGAAAATATCGAATTGATTTTATTCTTTTATTAAAATATTTGAAATTTCAGCTTTCTAAAACTAGTTTCATTTTAATTCTACGATAAATAGAAATCATACTATAATCGTTTTAGTGTAACGCGGCTGTTGTCAAAAGAACTGGTAGTTGGTATTTCGAAACCAGAAGTCGTACTCATTTGGATAATTTACAGTAGTTTATATTTGAAGGAATATTTTAAAAGGCTTAATTAATATCTGCATCATTCTTGTATTTTCATGGTGGGGCCTCATTCTAATACGGTATAATTCCTGAAATACTCTTTGAGGTATTTTAGGTGAGAGTTTTTTTAGCCCAAAGAGGCGTTAGTCCAGTAGGGATATTAGTCTCGAAACGGTATTTTACGTCGATTCACTATAAATGCCCGTTTCACTTGTTGCATCAAATTTTATCACTTTGTATTATATTTAAAGAAATTAAATAATAAAGAATTTGCATGAATGTATGCATGTTTTCACAGTGTGAGAAAATAACGGTACTCAGAGCCATCAAATTTTGAATAATGTAGTCCTCCAACTGAATATGGGTACATGGATACCGAATTTGGAATTTGTTTTATTTTCTATTTCACACTTTGTAACACTTTAACGAATTTTTGATTAACAAACTCAGCGATTTCAAAGCGAGCAATGGCAACACTGTAGAGAAAAAAACATTTTTATCTTCAGCGCGAGATACTGTATATCGGAAATTCTAAAATATGCTACTTTTAAATATTTTTGACCCAAAGGGACATTAGTCAAAATGCTCTTGAAACGTGTATGTCTGTTTAAATAATAAAAGAAAAAATAAAACTGCTCTTTTGGGCATATTATAAAATCTGAAAGCTTTCCGATTCATTTTTAAATTTCTAAAATTTTTAATTTTTTAACACTTTTAACATAAGTATCAAGAAAAACTCAGAAACGAAAATTTCATGAGAATCACTGTATTGCTACATAAAATACTGATGCGATGCTGAAAGCATAAATACAAGGAGTGAAATAAAAATTAAAGAGATCGAAGAAAAACAAAACTGATTTTTGCTATGAGGCTGATAGATAAAGGGCATTCAGATAGTAAAACGTTGTGAGCAACATTGAATATGCTCAGCTTGTCAAAGCCAGTTTAAAGAAATTGTGGAAAAAAATACTGAAAATTGCCTTATCTGTTACTCAAGATTCGATGAATGAAGCTGAATCAGAAATCAAGATCATGAGCAGATGATGATTCTAAAACAGTTTGTGGTATCTCTTGCAACGGTAGCTGGAATCGTCTTGCAACGGCACATTACTCTCACCAGGCGACGAGCATACCTGTATCGAGTTACGACACTTGCTGGTAAACATTTCTTACTATTGTAGGCATAACGCTATATTCTGAGCAAATACCGACCTTACAGAGCTCTTTCCGAATGAGAAATCCACTACACAACTTTCCTTTTACGCAGTGCTGCTTCAGATGTCGTTTCTCCCTCCTGTGTCGCCTAAATGCGCTAAGTACTAATCATTTGCTTATCCCTATCTCCTTTTCCTTTTCACGTGATTTTGACGCTCGTCAGATCCTTCCTTCCTGGTGTTGCAATTTTAATGGCCAGCAGTATATTTATTTAATGTAAATTTCATGATATTACGAAGCATATGTAAATTTAGGACTATAAAAATTGTCTAATGAAATTAATTTTATAATTGCCAAAGTTGTTATATGCACTTTAATCATAATATCACAAGATTTATACAAAGGCAACATTTAAATGTAATAATAAAAATTAATACTTTGTGTTTTAGTGCTGACATTTCCTTCCTGGGTCGCTTGTCATCAAATGTGACCAACAGTTATGATATCAACCTGCATTTCTTCAGCTATTCAGTGCAAGGACGAACTAGGCTATAGAGGATATTATTGACTAAGCAGTTGAAAAATTCTCATTTCAGCACATCGAAAAAGACCTTCTCGTTTTAGGGGATTATAACAACTCTGTTGGCATTCCTTATCTTTCTACCGATTAGTTATAAAATTGTACGTATTTTGCAGAAATTCACGTTTCAAGTCAATAAAATTCGCAGTTTCATACTTAAGATGATATAAACTCCTACGATATGTACAGGATTCCCAGCCAATGTGGTTTAATTTTCACTAGTAAAACCACAAGAACTTTAAAATTTCGGGCTAAGGAACATGAGGCATATGTTAGAAAAAAAATACAAAAATCCTCTATTGCGTAACGCTATTAGTCAAAAACTCACATTTTCCATTTTTATGCAGACAAAATTGTTTGAAAAGTCTTCTATTGACGAATTAGATATTCTAGAGGTATTTCACATTCATAAAAATTTTTCAGTTCTGGTTAATGATTTTAGTTCCAATCCTCTTTACCCTCGGTTTTTAGGAAGCTATTTCATTTTTCACCAATAGATGGCCCCAACAGCTTGATGTGCTTCCTCTCAGCTTGACGTGCTTCCACTGGCATTTCTTCTATCATTTGCACATCCGCAGATGAAGAAGTAGTCTCTCTCTCTCTATCAAGGTATACATATAATATTTAAAAACATCTTTCGAAGTAGAACTTACTAAGTATGGATTCACTCTTTCTCTACTATAATTAATCTTAGTAGATAATATAATCAATATTATTTAGTAAATATAGATATATATATAAATATATATTCGAAACTAGTCCTGCAGATTCATGAATATTGTGCTGATTAATAAATTACGTGATGTTTCAAATAAAGTTAGAAACTATTTTATTAAATATAAGTAAATTTATTGTGCATTTGCTGTAGAACATTGTGAATTTGCTGCTCTTTTGATGTCTAGAATATATTTGCTGATTTCAAAATTTATGTGAGTCGTGTGTGAAACAAAAGTATCTTAATAAATTTAAGCAATTATCAGCCCTAGATAAGAGGTGCGATTTTAGAAATATTTATGAATTCTGTACCAATTTAATGCACATCTTTTTCTTTCAAACAACAAACTGACAACGATGTTTTAAGTGGTTGCGCTTATCTTTAAAGCTAAAACGTTTTTAATTTTTAATCTAATTTCAATGAAGCCCTATTCAAATATTCACTATAAATATTATTTTATATTGACTATAAATATTATTTTACAAATACTGTACGGTGAAAAGCGGTGAGTTTTTAAAAAAATTCTAAAGTAAAATGTCCTAACATTGGTGACAGAATGTCGAAGGACGTAAAAAAATAGTATAAATTTTGCCTCACAGTTTTCATTTTGCAGTTGACAACATTATTGAATACTGTTATTGAACTGAACGATCTGTTGATGAAATATTACAAGGCTGGATTGTGCATTTTTTAAAGTTTGATGTCAAAAATATCAATTTAAATATATAGCTCTTAAAACAAGTGAGTCTAAAAGTCCGAAAATGTTACAGTTCGTGATTGCAATACCGGTACATCGATATAACCGAATACCAGTATTTCCTGCTATTTCCCAATTTCGTGACACCGGTGTTTGCTAAAGTAAAATACTGGTATTTTTGGTATTAGCAATAAATAATAATTTTGTTTTAAATTAAAGGGTTTCATTTAACTTATTGGGCATCTACTGTTATTTAAAATACGTATTTTGTTTTATTCACGTGGCAATACCAACGTCAATAATTTCCTTTCTCACTTCTGTTCGGATCTCCTAAGAAACTTCTCATTCTGACTTCGAAGAGAGTAATAATGAAAAAAAAATAATAATACAATTGTTGAAAGTACTTTAATTGGATATGAAAAAGGTAATTTTAACAAGGACGAAATATTAACTTACCAAGGATTGCTTCCTATATTTAAGGAAATTTAAACTTTATTAAGTTTAAATTAAGTTTAAATTTAAACTTTATTAAGTTTATTAAGATATTTAAGCGTTTCTATTCTAAAATGCTGTTTTACAAAAATATATACTTACTTAATGAAAAAAGACTCTATGCCAACGGTAAATTGTAAAATACGCTTGAACAGTGTGCTCTTAATGATAAGACAATTTTTGAAGTTAAAAATCCAGTTCAGATAGCGTTAATTGACTTACCAAAAATACCAGTGATTTACAAATTAATTTTTTCCATTTTGAACTGGATTTAATGTCTAAAACTGTATCAGCTCTGCTTCCAATAAAGCTGACTGTGGAAGCAGTAGGAAGGACTCCAACTAAACAGCGAATCAACAATAAATTTTATATTTCAATCACTTAAAGAAAAGGACACCCCGCTATCTAAGGAATAATAAATTCCATTGAAATTTCGCACAGAGAAAAGGCTTAGCGAACTAGAAATATTTTAAGGTATTTACATAATTATAAGAAAAGAGGCTAACAGGGTCAAATTTAATTGTGGTAAATTCCCGCAAAAACATTTCTGAAAAGGAAACACAAACCTATCCAGAGGAATTCATCGAAGATGATGTTGATGTTAATATATCGGAAAGAAATATTTCTCCGGAAGAAATTACAATTAGCTACAAATTAAAAAATTGTCACAAACAGTAATATAAAAGTAACACAAAGAGCAGATTTATCTAAAACCGTTAGGGAAAAGACCCAAATGTTAAATGAAGAACTTCGAGGCAAATAATTTATAGAGAAACTATATCACTCATTATTAACAGTTCCACCAACCAGCAAGGATGCAGAAAGAGCATTTGCAACTGCAGGTAATTTGTGCAGAAAATACGTTTTAGGCTTAATGATTCACAGATTATTATGTTTCCTTCCTATCCCATTTAAAAAATATGCAGTTAATAAATTGATTGTTTTTTCCTGTTAATAGATATTATATTATAGACTAAAGAACAAGATTTTTATGTAATATTTACTCTTCTTAATAATAATAATAATACTATATGTTTTGTTCCATTTTTGTATTGTAAAATTGTAACAGAACTATTTGGATGTAACCGAACTATTTTATCGAACGCCATCTAGTGGCGACGAGAGCAACTTCAGTTGAACTCCAACTGCGATGAGGATAAGTTTTCCAATATTATATTATTTCTCCGTGACTCGAACGTTAATTCTAAATGTTAGGTGTTCCGTTTTGGTCTGTGTTCTGTTTTAATGTTTATTTTCTTTGTAATTACTTCTGTGCTTCCTTAATAAATTACTTTTAGAGCTAACTGGCGTTTGCGTTTATAGAATAGCAGTTACAATATTATAATGATTTAATTTTTATGTTATATATTTTTTTTCTAATGTTATCAGTTACTTGTACTATTTTACTGCTTTTATTAATAATATTTGAATATAACATTTGTTCCATTATTTCATATATGTACGCAATAAAATTGTTTATATTTTTATAGTTTATGCAATTTTTGGATAAAACTAATAAATATGGAAAAAAAATGTGTTTTTGTATTTTTTGAAAAATTCCTGATACTGGTATTCCGCTACAATTATTGAACTGAATGATATCCAAGCCTTAGAAAACGAAGCATTAATGCATTCCCCGTGCATTAACGCACAAAGAGGGTAAAGTTTTCAAATGACATCCCTTCTACTTCCTAAAAAAGAAGCTTCCATTAGCCTTTTATTAAAAGCTGTTTTCATTAAAAGTTTTGTTTAATGTTTTATTAAAAGCTGTTTGCCCAAATGCAACTTTTATAATGCATTTGGGGAAACTGCATCTGCTGCTGCATACCTTAGGGGAGAGAATAAACCACATGGGAATCTCGGCCGTTTGAATGAAAGGCTGTCTACGGCGTTTTGGCCCTCAAAGGGTTAAAAAGTACCCAATACCAGTAATGTGTTTTTGGTACCAACTTATAACTCTGAATTATATGTAGCATATGAATGCAAGTTGTGTTTTTTATGAAATACTGCTACTCCATGTACTCTCTGATTTTCTTAAAAATATGTACAGCCCTATCCTGGTGGTGGCGGCTGCTGGATTGTACTTGATCTCCCGCTGAGCAGGCACTATTCTGTTTGGTATACACCTTCGGTCAGAAGCCTGCTCAGTGGTGATAAATGAATTAAATAAATGTATTTTTGGTCCGGTTGTGCAGTCATTAGTTACAGTCGTTATTACACTATACATTTTTTTACTTCTCATTGATTAATATTTATTTACAGAAGAATTTTAATTAATACTAATCGAAACAAATTCCTTACAAACTTTTGCCATATTTTCATTTAAAAAATGATAATCTAGTTCTTACGTATTTTTATAATGAATGCGTTTGGACTGCACAGAATACGTTAACCAAACCTTTGAATGCATTTTAAATTTATTAATCTTAAAACGATATTATTTTTAATTAGGGATAAAGTCCTGTCCGCTGTAAACAGACATCAAATGGAGATGCATAGAACTTTTCACTTATTTTTTTAATAAATGTGCATTGCTGATTAGTGTAACAACGGTAATCCTTTGAATTATAAAAATTTAAATGAAATCAATAATGCCTTTAAACGTCTCTTTATAATAAATAATAAGTAAAATTGCATTGCATTTTGATGAAAGAAATAATGTTTCCTTCTTACTTCCATGTCACCGTGGCTTAAAATTTTGAACTGGAATTATGTCTAACAGAAACGCGTTACGCTGTTATATGTAAATATTTTAAGCATTACCTTTTTCATTGTTTTTACTATTTCTAAAATTAATGAACTTTGTTTTTCGTAGTCAAGCTGAGCAGTTTCTTTTTTTTCTTTGCTTTAAAAGAAAATTTGCTTTTTTTCGTACAGCTTATACTTTTCGTTTTTTACCTGCGTTAGAGGTTTGCGCTTCGCCACATTTTAATAATGGATGCGAACTTCCATAGCTAATGCTTTTTTCTAAATCTCTTTATAGTAGAGCTGAAATGATCCTAAATATTTGCGTATGGTGTCTGAAATATGCACATAATAAAGTCTGTGAGACAAGGTGTTTATGAGCTTTTTCGTTTTTTGATTATGCAGTTAAGAAAAGCAAATGCAGAGTTTAATTTTAAAGTGTTAAAATAGCAATTATGTGACAAATAATACTTCAGCAAATAAAGATCGGAATAATTTCATGAGTTTTACCTCAATGTAATTATCACATGTAATTATAATATCTTCATTAAAGGAAGCAAAATGAGGTAAATTTTCACCTAAAAAAATGTAAGGCAGCGATTAAGGAAGGAATGAAAAAGTTTTGGGCCTTTATCATACCTATAAGAGTTGCTTAAAATAGCACATATTACAATACATGGAAATCATCCCATATTGCAAAAATATTTAGTTGCTTGGGTAAGAACAAAAGAATAGAAAACTGCGGGAGATCTAAGGTATTGAAAAAATGTGAAGAGTAAAAGAGAATCTGAGGTAATCCTTATAGAGTTTATTTTTAAAAGTTCATATGTACGGTATAAAGCAGTTTTGTCATTTGCCAGTTGCGAGTTTGTGTAAGTAATCACAGAAGAGATTAAGATTCTCTAAAGAAGAAACATTGTTTATAGTGTAGTTACTTATAACAGTAGGCTGAGGGTTGAGAGACATTATTTGGAAATTTCAGAAATAATAAAAATCCTTAAAATTTGATAATCGTGACATGTGTGACATAAATGTGGGTATTGCTTAATTGTTCTTTCTTTTTCAAAGTAGTAAAATTTCTTTACGTTTACATACAAACAAGGTATGGGTTTGTTTAAATATTTGTGTTTTCTTTGTACTTTTATAAATTTGTAAATATTCCTTCATTCGTTTAAATTTATGCAACTATTTTCGCATTTATTTTGTGTTTATGTAAATAATTCGTTTTTATCATCTGAGGTGGAAAATATAATTCATATAACCATTCACTATTAGTTCACATTTCTGTAAGTTGTGGTAGAATTGCAAGTAAGCTTCAAATTTAATGACAAAAATTGGGTAAACATCGCCAAATCTGACTGCTTTCTTAACTTTCTCCCACCTTTCATATAAGTTTCCTTTTCTTTTGTGAGTCATAGATACGGAAAATTCTGTAAATCATGTCATTCCGAGTATGCTATGTAATGAGGCTTAAACAGTCGCTGAATTATCTCTAAGTAAATTTCTTGAATTTTTTAGTATGCTATTTTAGAGAAAATTTGTTGTAAAATACATTTTCCTGTGAGTGCTTTTGAATGCATTTACATTAGGAGTTCTTGAAGCATAAAGCTTCAGTTCTTGAAGCATACATTCTGGAACGTAGAAACGTAGAATTTATGTCCCTTTTACACATTTTTTTCTAGTGATATATTTAGCGATAATGAACCTCTTAAAAATAAACCCGCTTTGAGCAAAGAGGAATTGAATGACGCACTTACGTGTTATCCCGTCCACCGTGAAAACTGGGTACCATTGAATATAAAAGTTGTTGGAGATGCCACCAAAGTTGCGTCAATCGTTTCTGCGAAATTCTGAAGGAATTGACGCCTCTCTCCTAAATAAACAATCAGTATTTCTCTTGTTTCGTTCTTTTCACTAAGTAAAAAGGCTTTCACTAATTTCTACTCTTTGGCTTGGCCAAATGATGTGTTTTTTGTAAAACATTTTTTGTGCACATTCTGCACGTGTGAAACGTCTCTGCACTCCCTGACTGTTCCAATCCATTGCTGTTTGTCGGTCATATCCAGCTGCTGTCTACAGCAGATGTTAATTCTCTCCACCAGGTGTAAATCAACCAGAGTGCAATGACAAATATAATTCTACAACTCTCAAACTCATTTTTGTTTTAAATTGTAAGCAAAAATATAGCAATAACAGTTAGTTTATATTCTCATTTACAAAAACAAAAGGTAGCTTTTCGAGAATCAATCGGGCTTACATTAAAAACGAGAACGCAGATGTCATGAGTGTGCTGTGAAGCCACGTTTATTCCCGACTGGTGCTAAATCGCGCTGTTTGGCAACAGTTTCCTGGTCGATGGGATAATACGTAAGTACCCAAGGATGTAAAAACAATAGTTTTGAAAGCAATGAAATATGTGTAGGTCGTAAGATGAGAAGCCTTCAGTTTCAGACGTACCAAACAGCCCCTTATCAAGAGCACAAAAAAAGGTTCATATACATAAATAAAATTTTCAAATTTGTATTTATTCCTTGGTGCATAAACAGTCGTCATACCACCATTCTTTTTTTTCGTTTTTTCATCATGATCGTGAAATATAATTTGATGCATCCGTACATACAAAAGTCTTGAGAAGACTTAGGTATTTTTTTCCTCGTCAAGATCTTCAGATCTTGTGCAAAATAAAACAAATTCAGAAAAAGAAAGATTCATGGGAAAACTCATACTAATAAGTAGTAGTTAAGAAATATGTTTAAAAATATTTTAAACAGTAGTTATTTATGGTCTCACCTTCTTTCACATTCTCCCAATGAACAGTGACAAAATCATCTCGATCTGGACGACTCTGTTCATGCACAAACCCAAGCGTGTGCATTAATTCGTGCATGATGATGCCTTTAGAATAACAGCCGATTCCCAAAGAAAGCGTCTGTTCACCACCCATACGTCCCACGTAAGATGCACATCTAAAAGTAAATTTTACATCTTTCTGATTCTATTAAATGACAATAAGACGAAGCATCATAAAAGGATGTAAATTAAGGATAATAAATTACTAAATACAGTAAAACTTTCCCAATAGAGAACGCTTACGAGGACATAGATTTTGGTTATTTAATAGAGTTTTTCTCTAATCAAAATGATCGAGAATTTTAAACTTAAAGATATTTAAACCATAACTGTTGATTCTGCAAAAATTTAGTGCTAATATTTTATATTTGCTATAAAATATGTATAAAGTGTACTATGCATATTGCTATAAAGAATAATAATAAATAAAATATTTTTAAACAATAAATTTCACCTTGAATGCCCTACTATTATACTATTCTATATTAAAACCGTTAAAAATGAGTCTTTATCTTCAATATTTTTACACTTTTCTTCTCTATCAAAAGCTTCAGTATCAGTTAAGTTCTTCAGTTTAAGTAATAAAACATTTAATACCTTTGTTATTTTATTCTGCATAGCTCGCTGTTGAAAGATAACATATTCAGTAACATTTACTTTATAAATATTTTTATTCATTTATTTAAGTTATAAGGTATTTCTCTCGCCTTCTTGGCATGCCTTTGCGGTGTGGTGGTCTCCATGCTGGGCGCGTATTTCAGAGGTCTATGGTTCGATTTCCGGCGAAGGTGTTGCATAGCTTTCAATCTCTCTATCTTCCAAAAAATCCTAATGTCTCTATAAAGTCTAGTTAATTTATTTTCACTTCTATCAAAAAATTGGAAAGATGGAAAGAACATTGTTACATGGTTCGTAATGGATTGTATTCACACAGAATCGATTATAAGATTGATAAATCCCCCCCCCACATCAAACACGTTATAGTTCTGAAACTTTTCACAAATGTACTCGTACAGCCTTCCTCAGTAAGCCAGAGCACAATCAGTGGTTACTACTACAAGCTACTAATAACGTTAAACATAACGCAGTGCAAATGCACGGAGATCTCTCAATACTTCCAAATGAGGTCTGAACTAAAAACAAAGAACTGAGGCTGCCTCCAGACTTATAAAGTTTCCCCCCAGCCGCCGAGAAATCTTTAGTTTCTTCCGTTTCTTGAAGTTACTGGAAGGCATACACGATTAACTTTTTAAAACCCAAAGCCTTCGCTAACCTGTATGTTTAAATACCGAACCTCTCGAAATGGTTTTCGAGAGTCACATCAATTTCCTCTCCTCCTCATCCATTAACGCACAAAGAAGAGTTAAGGTTTTAAATGACATCCTTTCTTTTTCTAACAAATAAAGATAAGAAACCACAAATAAATTCTTTTAGGACAAGCTGTCTGTAATAAACTGATACAATGCATTTGGAGAAACTGCACCTATTACTGCATGGCTTAGGGAAGGGAAGAAAACAACATCGGAATTTCATCTGTTTGGGGCGGTTTTGGTCGTTTGAATGAAGGGCCGTCTGAGCCGATATGGTCTTCAAAGAGTTACATATGCAAATAAGGGTCGCATACGGTTTATACGGTTATAGTTACATATAGGGACAAATTTCAGTTATTTAGCTACAATACCAGTTACAGTTGTACAGGGATCGGGCAAAAATGTCGCCAAATGATAGCCAAGTTTGGCGACTTTTGAAGATTCCTCTTCAAAACTATTGCCCAGCTTGGGGATATCTCACCAATTTAGCGAGATCGCCATTTACCTCAATGTTAAACATACTTGCTCCTATTAACTAATTTTTCAGGTAAAATTTTATTCCTTCAGACTTTTCATGTTACATCGTACAAAATTCTCATCAATATTTTAACGCAATACGTCATCAATTGTTAAAACAATTTAATAACATCTAAAATAATTAATCTTTCACAAAATTATCACAGTTTCGAGATAAGGATTCTTTATATAAAATATACAATAAGAAGAATGTTCTGCAACTAAACTTTGGATTATGCCTTGATCTAATGGTTCGCATGCTTTCGTTTAGTGGCAAAAATATAGTATTTGTATTCTAAACTTTCAGATCGGAAGATTGAGAGTAATATTTATCAAATATAGAAAACATTATTAGGTATCATTTTTATTTTATATTTGGGATTTTTGCATTGAAACATATGCCAACGTAACGTTGTACCGCAAGTTATCTAAGACCTTTTTATGTGCGTTTTATTCTTTAAGAAGCTTAAGATTGGAACTTTGCTTTCTGAAATTAAATGGCTTTATAAAACCTATTACGATGTAAAGATTGTGTTAATTTTATTAACAGTTAAATTTCCTTTCCTATCGATTCTTAATTTCAACTTACACAACTTCCGGCCAGAACGTAGTTTTAGAATCACGTCTGAATACATAATGAGGAAGTGCGGTATTTAACTGCGAAGTTCTTCCGTCTTAGTGAGAGAGATACCAGGTATTCTGGATACACGCGTCCGCCTTTTTAGGTTACTCTGTCGTAAGCTATTATCACGCTCGGCCGTACTTTAGGCCCTTGATAGCTTCGCAGTCTATTAACGTTAAGGGGCCAACTCTGTTAGAATTTTGAAAGCTTCGGCTATACCTCTTTAGTTTAGATTAGTTTAGTTTAATTCTTAGTCTTTTAAGTTCAAGCCCAAGTGTCGGCTTTATTATACAACTCCAAGAAGGAGTTCTGTCAAATCTTATTTTGAATAATAAAGGGTTATTTTACCCTTCCATCTTGTTGGTTCCATCACACGAACTCAAGCCATTATTCGCTTACTAGTTCTTAAGATTCTTCACTTTCAACAGTAACTTAGAATTACCCAGTGAGGAACTCTGCAATCATACAACAACATAACAATATTGTTAGTCCCTCTTTCGATACTTTTTCTCGAATGTATTTTTAATTTTTTAAACAAATAGCTTTATTTGGTTAAGTTCCGTTTTTTAAACATGACAAAGCATAGGGAGTGTATTTAGGAAGGAAGAGGAATGCCTTCGAGAACGATATTTTAAATGAAATTCTATAACAGAGACTCTTTTAAGAGAACGTTTTAAGGCTATTTACATTACTCAACGATTAACCTTACCCTGTTTATGAAGATTTCTTCCGGTTGGGACTACCAGTGTTTAGCGATTTTACGGGTGGTGCACTAGTGGCCAGTTTTATTTGGAACTGGATAAAATAATCTAAATCAAAATTCTTTTCATTGTGCTTCAATATAATCAATTTGTTTCTTTGGAAGTAGATTTGAATGGGGATTATGGCATGAACCAAATTTTGTTCATGCCATAATCCAAATTTGAAGTTTTAAAATGTCCTATACGTAGACATTCAACCATCTTTTAAAGTCTTTTTTAAATTCCTACTATTAGCTCACACCATCCCTATATCTTGTTCAAATTTTCAATCATTAATAAAATACTTTTTATTCATCCAGTCAAATTCAAATACATTTTTAAACTTGTAGTGATGACACTTGATGTTAATACAGTTTTTTTCACGTATTAAAATTTTTAATGTAAAAATTTTTTTTTGTATTTTAAATTTTTTTTCCTTGCTGACCTAAGTAGGAATTGACTTAATTTTTTATTTAATTATTAATTAATTAATTTTCAGTCGTTAATAAAATACTTTTTATTCATTCACTCAAGTTCAAATACATTTTTTTAACTTGCAGTGGATGACACTTGATATTAATACAGTTTTTTCACATATTAAACATTTTTTAAATTTTTAATTAAATTATTTTTTGTATTTTTTAAATTTTTCTTTGTTGAGTTAAAAAAATGTGTTTATATTACCTGTTATTCCTAGAAAAGGCAAGTAGTTGGATTAATTTTGGAATGAAGTGTACATAACCAGTTCGATGCTAGATAATCAATAGTTGGGTAATCTGTTTTCATTAATTGTTTAAAGTGTTGATTTTTTATTAAAATTCATTGTCCAAAATTTGAGAATTTATTATTTATTTTGATTAATTAGTAATTTGAGATTTACTAATTGTAATCTTTTCATCTAGGATTCTAATGTTAAATAGGGTTCACTAGCGGCCGAGCGCTAAGTTGCTGAACACTTGTAGTTCGGTCCAAGGATTGAATCCCATGTCCGGGCTGGCTGCATGGGCGCATTCATGGCTTTCCTCATGAACCAGTTTCCCTCAGAAAGCCCTCCCTCCCCTTAGGCAGCTAGCCCTCGAGGCCGTAATTACATAAACCAAACACATTATAATAAGGTTTTCTTAAAGAGATTATAGTGGTTTCTGCCTTTTTTTTTTTTAAATCTTTTTCTTTTAATGGAAGTCATTACAAAAGTAGTGGTACAGTCTTCTTGTTATGAACATGAATGAAATGTAGACTGCAGCATTATTAGTGAAGATCGCAAATTTTTTATTTCATTCGTTTTTCGGAGACAGCCACATAAAAAAGAAAAACATCTATTATGAATTCAGCTAGTGTACTTTCAGGTGTCCAGTTAATAATTAAGAATAATAGTAATGAATAATTGCGTTTATTGCTCTTATATTGCTTTGGTTTGTTAATTACGGATTAAATTTTAAAGCAAAAGTAAATATCTTACACTCTGCCAAATGGTAACATATGGTGCGTGAAAGATAACAATATTCTCTTTAGAGCAATGATAGCATATTTTTTTTTTTTTTAAATCTCTGAGATTCTGCTTAAATTTAAAATAACATATAAATGTCTTACGCTTTGCCGAGTGATTGAAACATAAATATCCTATGCTTTGTGGAATGGCAACACATATTACTTTTAAATCGTCGAGTTTGTTGGCTAAAATGACATTAAATTCATACAAAATATGAAATAAAAAACCAACCCGAAGCATAAAATTCCGGCTTCGAATTGCACAATGTTCGCTGGAAAATTATTGTACGTTTAAAATTTATGTAAGCTTATGTGAAATTTTCAAGCTGCCGTCGTTTTCGAAGAATGCGAGAAATATATATACGGGGTGACCCAAAATTCCGTTAACGTTTGAAAATTCAATAATTCACTGAATAACTTAGACAGAGAGATAAAACTGA